GGCTCCTCCCGGGGTGGCCGGGGAAACGGCGCCCCTTCGCCCCCGACGCAAAGGCAGAGCCGAGAGCCCGGAGCGCTCCCGAGGCCGAGCAGGAAATCTTCAGAGCGGGCTCCAGCTCACAGCAGGACCGGGCGCTGCGCAAAGACGGGCTGCGCTACGTACTCGGCCAAAACCCAACCCTTTCTTGCAGACCTACATCGGCGCGCTGCGAAACGTGAGCCAAGACATGTACAGGGAAACCAGGTCTTGACCGTAACTCGGGGGAACGGGGAAAGAACAGCGATGAAGTAAGAAGTGGAAGGAATGGGCTAAGTCAGTGTCGCGTTGCCCTGGGACTAGCTCACCTTAGAGCAAGGGAGACACGCTCACCTGTACCTGTAACGCACAGCTAACATCCAGCTATCTCTAACTTTGCTTTCACTCGTTTCTGTGGTTTTAAACACAAACCAGAACTTGTGCAATAGCAAATACAGCCCACTAACTCTACCATTTACCAAAAACCATTGCGATACACAAGATTTTTAAGTTGCTCTTAGCTCCAAGAATTACCACTGCTAGTTCTGGTGCAAGCAGCTTTGCTGGAAGGCAGTTCGGCATTCAGTACCAGGGCGCATCCAGACAAGAAGCTCAACAATGTTCCTGCGGTCACACCTGAATACTAATACGAAAGCGCTCTAATTTTCCTCATATTTTAAATGTGCTCCTTCTGTCTCCAGTTCTGGATTTAAAGTTTGAGCAGCACAAGCTGCCAAAGCTCACCCTAATAGAACAGGGCAAGAGCCCGTTCAGATGCTTGTTTCAAGCAGCTCTGGAACTATTACAGGAAAACGCAACCTGCACAAAGTCAAAAGCAAACAAGACTGAAATTCTGCTCATATGATTCCCGCTTCTTTTGCATTGGTCTGATACCATCTGCCTTGTCCTCTATGGCACATACATATTGTGAAAAATCTAACCAAGCCAGAAGAATCTCAGCCAGTTTCCTTTTATAATACTCTTTATTTGATTAAAGAATTTGTATTCTTTGTATACACTGGAATGTGTTCTATTCCCTAGGCCATTATTGTACAGGGTTACAAAAACTGAGGTTTTTTTTTTTTTTTAATATCACCCTTGAAATTTAAGAAAAACGCTCCTTTGATGTCTGAACTAAACTCGACTCCATTTTAAAATCATACAGACAAGCAACTCTTGAACGCAACTGAATTAATAGGATTCATTGTCTACTTCACTACAGAACAGGGTTTGCTTCCCTTCCCTCCGAACACGCCACCCTCCCATGAAAAGAGTAAGGGTTTATTTCCTCACTGGTGTGTACTATTAACAGAGGAGAGACTGCTAACTTCTTTGGCAGATGGCCCTGTGGGAACTGATACACACTTATTCTCGTGGAAGTACTCTCCTTGGAGTGCAGTACATGAGTTTTTAGGACTTCTGAGGACAGGAGGCTGTTTGCTTTTCACTGTGGCCTGACTCTCACACTGCTCAGAACCAGCAGCCCTTCCTACAGCAGCAACTGTCAGCAGCACGACATCATTTGGTTGGCCAGTTACAGCCCAGCGGGAGTCAGGCTGGGACCACCGACCACTCAGTGACAGGCCCTGAATCAAATGGACAAGATGAATTTTGAAGAGAGCTCAGTTCTGTGGGAGGAAGTAAATAGTGCTATCCAGGCAGTCAGAGGAAGAAAATCTCTGCGACGGCAAAACAGCACACTCGGGGGCTGTTCGTGCTCCACAAAGGTCAGATCAGTTCAGCACATACTCTGGAAACTAGCATTTCTTCCCTCTCCGTTGCAAAGGGCTGAGAAAAAAACACTAGTTTCAGGCAGGTCCTAACAGAACTTCCAATCTGCGCACGGGCTGAATAAACCAGTCTCCACATCTGTTTATATCTGTTTATAGGTCTGCACGCCAACAGGCAAAGTGGTTCAACTTACCAAGAAACTCAAGCGGCTCAAGTCAGGATACACAGATGGTTCTAAATGAATGAAACCGCTTTAAAAAGCTGGCCCGAGAGCTTTCGCAATAGACAGCGGACCCTGACACGGGCCATGGGTCGCAGCAGCAACAAGAGAATTCAGAAGTGCAGTCTCTGCTCCCTAGAAGCCCACCCTTATCTAACCACACCAAACAGGATGCCTGCAGGCCTCCTGATAAGCCCAAACATAGGTTCACCATTGTGATGGCGCAGAGGCAAAAGGACTGAACATCTGAGCTATGACTCCCTCCTCCCCCCACACTCCTGCCACAATCCCCACCTTGGGAATCAGAGCCAACTTGTCCCACTTCTACCAGACAGAAGGGTCCAGTGAAACAAAATGCCCTTGTGCTTATTATCTTAACGCCTGCTTTCATCAATAGAAACACAAGTTGAAGGCAGAGGAGAAATTAACATGGCAGCACCAACAACACAGAGTGCGTGAAGCTTAAAAAAGGGAGAGTAATGTCTAGCACGCTCTGGGACTGAGCTCTAGTCAGCTTCGTGCGAGAAGAAGGGGAAGTGTCAAAGCCGGGTTCTCTGCGGAGATCTTGCTTTTCTGCTGGCCAGTAAAAATCTACCAAAGAAATTTGCAGCCTTTCTCCCCACGATCGTGTCAATACTCTGCCAAAAAATGTCTGTGACCCAGGAACACTGCAGATGGCAGATAGAGCCATGTGTCTTAGCAGAGAGAGGGCTGCGGCGTTCCAGACATTCAGAATAAACTTCGGCCTCTTATTTTTTTTTTTTTTAATTTAAAATTTTCCTTTGCGATTCCCCATAGCTGGCATTACAGGATTTCATACTTGTCCACCAGGAAGGTGGTCTCAGTAGAAAACCTTACAGGACTGTTCCCATCTACCTGGGTCACTTTGGTAACCTGTGGAGATAACACACACAGTTAGTTCAGCATTTAGCACTGTACTCCCAAATCACACACAGCTAAGCAGAACTTTCCGATTAGCTCTTGAGACAGTCACAAGGATAAAATTAGCCCATCACTTTGAACCACAAGTCGGTACTGCAAGATCGATCTTTGTTCCCAGGAAACCTGAGAACAGGGGAAAGACAACACTTATGTCCAACCTTTACAATAACTGCGTGTCTCCTTAAAGCAGCCTGCAAAGAGTTAAGCACTTGCGAGCTACAGTTCAACGGAGGATAAACAAAGAGCCGTACGCTGAGAAGTCTTTTTGCCTGCAAGGTCGATAGATTCTCTAACATAAGTTTGAGGGCAACTCATTATTTAGAAGAGACACGAAGGCACAACTCAAACTGCGGGCAAGTTCTAGGAAGCTGCAGTTAGCAGAACTGTTCGCTGGCACCAACGAATCCAGCTAAAAACATCGTCTTAATACTAATGCCTAAGCCCTCGCTAAGTGGGACAGCGGCGCACTCACCTCGTACCCTATGTCCCACCATGGCAGTTTTCAGCCAAAGAACGACCTGAGGTAGCTTGAAAGAGGTAAGATTCACATTGTGAAGCACTGGGCCTGCAAGGCCGTCTTCTTTAGTGTTGCCTACTCTTTCACTCAGACCAGCTGGGAGGCAGAGGAAGGGGCAATTTCAGATTCACAGAGAATAAGAGCAAAGCAAGAGGAGAGCACAGCACTGTGACAAAGAGCTGTCCTTGAGGAAGAAGACGGCCTATCTCTCTGTCACCTCTCTAGAGAAGACGACAGCACAATAGGGCAGACATCTAAAGAACGTCAGCGGCACAGGTAAGCAGACGCCACAAACGTAGCCAGGCAGGCTAAGGGCAGCTCCCCTCAACGTTATTAGCATGAAACAGCAACAGCATGTTCTGCAAGCACCCCCAGAACTTTCGGCTCTTTCAGAGCAAGTCCTGCACCAGCTGTGACCATACCTGTATGTTGCAATAGTTCTTTTTGGAGACAAAGGAGACTTGCACTGGGAAGAAGTCGTTTGGCTGCCCTGCTATGCTGAATTCCAGGCTGCCGCTCTTGTTTTTGGCATCTATCACTGGCAGGCACCACTCAAGGAGATTTCTCCGGCTATCGTGGCGATACTCGCCATCAATCTCCCCAATCACTGGGGCACCGACACCAGACCTAGAGCAGGCAACAAGGAGCTACAATAGCTTATCTGTCTATAGCTAAGGGTATGTTTGTCAAGGCCACAGGCATGAGCCAGACCTACAAACCAGGAAAGGAAAGGAACTGACAGGATACGGGAAGGCGCTTGTCAGCTTTGCACGTACGCGGAACGCTACTTACGGCAAAGGGATTGTGATGATCACGTCGTTCAGTTCTAGGCTTTCCTCTTGCAATTCATATTCGATGTTAACGTCACAATTGTTCCCACTTTCTGATGGCCAGCAGTTAACTGAGGGCACAAAAACAGTATGCTGACCCATGCAATCTTTGCAAGTGAAAGAGGTGTTCAAAAACTAACGCGCTTCAAAACCACAGCACAGTTATCACCGAGAAATTCTGACTTGAAGAACAAGAAAAAGCTGTTATTTGAGGGCATTACTGAAAACAGGACACTAGTGCGAACAGGTACTATCTAAACGGAAGACAAACACAGGTCTTCCCACCTCTGCACTCTGGTGGTCTCACAACATATCACACTCCAGAGCCAGCTGCACTTCTGCAAGGCAGGGTACAAGTGGGCAACCTGCGGCTGAAGACCAGCTTCTTCTGCCCAAGCTCCCCAGGCCACGTACAAAAGGCCACAGGCACGCTTGAACTCACTTGTCAGCGGAATGAAGGACTCTTCTGTGGTTTGCAACCTCCATTTCAGCACACCCACATCACTGTTAATAGGGAATGATTTCTCTGGGTTCTTCAAACCAATCTGCGATTCTGCAGTGAAGAGCTTCTTGTCCACGTTTGGGTGAGTCTGAAACGGGAACATATGCCCAGACTGTGCCTGCCACTGTGCTAATTTTAAGCCCTGGGACAGAACTGTACGGAGATAACTCAGGTGATGGCCCTACGCGTCCCTGAATATTTTCCCCTAGAAAACGCACCTTTTCATTGTTCCCTGCTCAGAAGCCCTACTGGACCACATCTGCTTATCACGGACCACATCTGCTTATCAACCTAAAATTCTTTCCAGCAAACGTTGATACATTAAGAAAAATCCACGTCACTGGAATTTTTACCTGCAATTTAGCCCAGACACTCTAGCAAGGGGAGTCCAGGGCTGGTAGTTACAGAAAAACTGTAATGACTCTTAAAATCTCAAATAATGTTTTAAAAGCATTCGCTCTTGAAGAAAAAGCGGCCTCCTAAAACGTTTCAACCTCACGCTACCTGGAAGAACACCTTGAAACCACAAGAGCACTACTTCTATCAGCAGCCTTTATGCCTATACTAACCCAAATGATGGCAGCCAAACTCCATTTAAATACGCTCTCATTGCAGCATCAAAGGTGAGCAGCTTTTTAAAAGCAAAGGATTTTTGTTAGTTAACGTTCACGTTACGCTAGAAAGACAGGAGCCAAGACTGGGTTTGATTTAATCTTCCCCCTGAAGCAGCACACGTGGGAGTACTGTTCAGAACTTGTTTATGAGATGAGCTGATAAGCAACCTAATACCTTACCAACAGACCTGCAGCCAGCTAAGTACAGATCAGTTCTTGGCCTGAGGAAGGATGGAGCAACGCAGCATATCAAAGCAAAACAGTCTTCAGAGCTCAGTAAGGTAACAGAAATACAAAGGAAGAAAGGGAAGAACATCTCTCCAAGAATCTTCTGAGGTTATAGTACTAACTGTAACCAAGGGCTCCAGCTCTGGCAATTGCTTTCGATACTTACAGCAATGGCAGAACACAAGTGACCAGTGAGGAAACAGCTTTCTAGATAATAAATTCATTCTTCATTGGCACAGTAACTTCATTTTTAACACTCCTGCTCCACAGCTAAAGCCAACATGATACAACTAGCATCAAGCAACACACCAGACTGCTGCAAAGTCCAAGTGAAATAAGGTGGCTTGCCAATGTGCATCAGCAGACAGATAAGGCTCTGAAGGTATGAAGATAAGCATGAGCCTGGACTTTTCAATTGAACTTTAATCTTTTCAGCATGAGCTGGCCCTATATTTACGCTGCAGTAGCATCTGCAACAACTACTGGCACTTTCAATGCATTTGCTGAGAGCTGGCCCTATGTTTATGCTGCAGTAGTGTCTGCAATGACCACTGGTATTTCCAATGCATTTGCTGAGAAGGCTTAGACAAGAGCGTAGTACAGTGGCATGCACTGAAGCAGTTCCCACGTTTTGCCCTGGAGAGCAGCAAAAGCGTGTTCAGCAGCATGGAACACCAAACAGCCTTTACCTGTAGCTGCACTCCCCTCTTGTCTTCGTTTTCTACATGGAGGCGAATCCGTGCAAACTTTTCATCAGAGATGTGCAGTACGATCATGCCATGCAGCTCCATGTTCTGTAACCCTCCATCACGGCCACAGGTCAAGGAAATTTTTTCTTCTATTTTCATGTGCACACTAGACAGAAAAAAAGCAGTATCTCAAGTCCCACACTTGGCATCTAACAGACAGGATGGGAGATTAGCATTCAGCAAGGACAGGCTGTATACTGAACAGGTGCTCAAAAGACTGCGATAGCCTCAAATGGAATAGCATGGACAGCACAACAGACGCACACAGCAACAAGTCCGGAATAAACTGAAGTCCAGATAAACAATAATGATATAGCATCTTGCTATGCTGTTCACTGAAAATCCCTTTAATTTTACTCCCATGAGGCAAGCTGCTGTAAAGGTGCTGAATTGCTGCATGAAAAACAAACTATGACTACTTGTATCCTATGGCACAATTAGACAGGAAGTCTTTGTGCCTGGGGAATAGAAAAAATAGCAGCTACATTACCTCATCTGAAGGCAAAACATCAGGAAAGAGAGCAGCGTTCCAAAAAGCAAAGGAAAATCTCCAATCTCAGCTAAGCAATGGATGTACATCCCTTTTTAATTAAAGCAGTGTCTAATCAAATGAGCTATCTGGCTTTTTTTTTTTTTTCCCCCCTATGTGCTTTCTAAGATTTTGCCCATGACCTTTTACAATTAACATACCAGATCAGCACACAAGACTAACAGGAGGAAAAAGCCCATTCCGAAAACCAAGGAGGAAGATTTCTGATAGCTCTTTAAGCAACATCGGGATCATACAGATAACTGTAAGAACACTGCTTTCAAAGCAAGGACAATACCTACCTCTCCATGTTAACGGGAGGAGCAAGAACTTTGGCTGCTTCTGCGGAGCGTTTGCCTACAGAAGTCATGATATTTTCTCCTTCCGATTTCAGCTTGTCCACAAAGTTGTCCACCTCCTTCCCTTTAGCTCCAAGTTTCAGAGCTTTACTAGGACCTGAGGGCCTAAAGGACAAAAAGCATAAGCATCTCCAAGTCAGTTTATGGCAAGAGATTCATCCTTCCTCAGCTATCATGCATTATTACAACTGGACTATCCCCGCATTGCCACATTCGCCTTTGCAGCCTTTTTCAGGGCGTACCAAGTATACGACAGATGGTCTCGTACGTAGGACAATAGATTACAAAGTAGATCTGGATTCCGTTCCCAGTACTACCAGTACCTGGTACCCTCATATTCTCAGACACAAAATGAGAAGCGCACTGCCCTTCAAGGATTTTATACTATGAGATGCTCAGATGCTACAGTGACCACGTATCATAAACGCTCTTAAACAACAACAGGCTGGTCTAAAGACCACGTAACACATACTGGTCTGTAAGCACGCACGTTAAAGGCTTAGAGGTCAACAAACACATGCCAGCAAAATTAAGGGGAGTGGCTTGACCGTATCAGCAAGGACGGTAACCCAATGGGAGGGCTACACAAATAAGCCATAATTAGAGAGTTGCACGTTTTTTGCAGGAGCAAGGAAGACAAAGCTCTTGACCTCCAGAACATAGTGCCAACCTGGCCAAACCCCACCAAACTGGCAGACGCCACCAGCGTACAGTCCACAGAGGACTGCTCCCTTATGCACCAAGGCAGGCCAGTTATTTTAGTGCCCCTCTTTATCAAAAATATTAAAGCGACAAGAAAATTAAGCCGCTGGGGAAGGAGAACTGAAACCTTTTATTTGGGCACAGAGTTTTCAGCCAGTGCTAACTCCAAGGACCATTCGCTACCTACTACACACGTACCTGGCAGGCGCTGGTGCCACTTTGGGCTTCTCTGTTTCAATGATGGTCTCCGTGATCATCGCTGCAGTTGTGCCTCCAGACACAGCTGAACTACCAAAGCCACCAAAACCTGGTGCCTTTTTGCCCTGTCTCTCTGCATCCCTCCTGGCCTGCTGCAACTCCTTTGCTTTACGGCGCATCTCAGCTTTTGCCTCGCGTTCCTGAGTCTGAAGGGGAAGATAAAAGGCTGATAGAGCTTTGGGATCTCAGTCTGTGCCACACAGCAAGTAAAACTAGGCTGATTTGCTTGTAAAGCCATTGTGAAGGAAAAGAAAACAAAAGGTAAACATTTAGCTTAGAGAGAAGCAAAGCGACGTTAAGACCCGTATCAAAGCGGAATAACGTTTTTTCATTACAATGCAGCCTTTCCCAGACAGGGAATACCAAACTTGAAATTACTTCAGCTCACCTCTCGGACAGCTCGGAACACTTTTTCTTCGTGTGAGTCCATCTCAGTGAAGGTCCGTATTTGTGCCAAGTTTACGTTCTCACGGTAGCCCAGGGCAACAATTTCATCAAAAGCAAAAATCAGGTCAAAGCAGTGTTCAGAGATCTCATTCTCCTCCAGAGCTCGACAATATTCAGGGATCTAGGGAGGGAAAAACACGTAAAAGGAGTCTTCATAGAAACAGACGCCAATACGTTTTAACGTTTTCTTTCTGTTATGCCCAGACGTCAAATTTGTGCTAGATCCCCCACAAGACCTGCATGCTACTGAGCTCCTTAATGTTCCTCTCTGCTGTTGATAAACAACAGGATGAAGTTTTGTCATACTATTTACGTTATTTTTTCCTAACTCAAAATATTTAGACAACCTCTTAACTTCGCAACATTGTAACTCACAGAAACTTACGCAAACAAACACTGCACAGCTAGAGAACTTCCTGAAGGTCCTCTGGCTGTATATGACAGAAACAGGTTATAAAATTAACATAGAGACATCTGCACAAACATGCTACTTAGAACCGCCTTGAAAGTAGTGTTATACTTGCAGTAATCACATGCTGTAATGTCACGTTATTTTGTTTTTTGGAAGGAGTACAGGTGTTGTCTTAAGAATACAGCAAATATTTCATGCTAAATTTACTGTAGCGCCATCCCTTCAGTCTCACAACTTAAACTACAACCGAAAATTTTCTAAAATTTTCTGTAACTCAAAAATATTACAGAAACTTACAAGATCAAGATCACTACCTACTTCCATGTCAGGAACAGGCTCTAGAAAATGAAAATCTGTAGAGATGGAGGCAGACAGCACTTCAGTAATAACTCACCAGCAGGTTCCCTTATAATAGCATTGTTTCAGGCTACATTTACATGAACTTGGCATACAGGGATCTGAAGTGTAGATCCTTACCACTCTGGAGAAAAGTCGGAGTGTTTCCAGGTCTTCCAGGATGTTGCTGTTTTTGGTGGTGATCAGCACCATGTAGAGCTTCTCCATTGGCTGATATACATACCGCACGCTCTCTGTTTCCACAAAAGTGTGCTGCTTCCCAGTGTTCATGAGTTTCGGGAAAGCTGCCAGCAGCCCCTCGATGCGGGTCCGAGTCATCTCCACGAACTGCCGTGAGACAATGGCCTTCCCCGCCTTTGTGCAGACGGCTGCCGCCAGTAGCACCTGGGGAGAGTCCAAACATCCAGTCAGCTGCACCCTTCAGGGAGCAGGTCTCTGACACCACGAGGTCTCTGCAAGTCCAACACGCAATTACTTGCTCAAAGAGGGGATAGTTTCCAACTAACATTAAACACAGGACTGTTTTGCAACGTGATGTTTCTCCTCAATGCCACATCTACAGTAAAGTCACGTTAACAAAATACGGAAAGCTATATCGATTACAGCACGTGGGTGACCCTCCTGGGCGTTTCATACATGTTACCGTACCAACAATACAAAGGCACGGAGGTAACCGCCCATTTACATTCTCTGATTCTCTCAAGACTACCAAGGCTCCCTTCTGAAGTTCCTCCTCAAGGAAGATAAGCTTTTTAATTTAGTCAACATAAGGCATTTTCGGCAGCTAAAATCTTTTAAATCCCCAACCGTTGTCTATTTACAGCTCTCTAATAACGAAGCATGTACTAGCAGCTATCAAACGCAGGCTGATTTAAAGCCCCACCTGACACTCAGGGTAACAGTGCTCTGCGTATGGCCAGGTGAGACATTTGGATGCTCTGATAAAACTGTCAAACTGTTTCTGGACTGCCCTAGGGGCTCTGTAGCTTGACAACCCAGGGACAAACGGGTCCTGACGCGAACAGGCCAGAAGCAAACTTCCATTGTGTAACTGCCCCGTAGGAGGTCTCACAAGAGGGCCAACTTGCACCCAGCATTCACACCGTGCTCCTAACAGGCAGGTCTCCTCTTTCACGAGGCAGCCCAGCAGCAGAGAGTACGGCAGTCTCTGCTGAGAGAAACGACGCTACAGATGGGAAACAAGGCACAAGATTTGCTCCAGCAGAGGAAAAGCTCGGAGCTGCACGCTGCCTGAGGGCAAGAGGGGCTGACCGGCCGCCTCCGGAGCCTGGCGGTACACGCCGGTGCTAGAAACCACGAGGCCTTGCCAGAACCGGCGGATGTGATAGCCTAAGCGACCTTTAAAATGAAGCTGATCAAGCCTCCCCCGGGCAGCAGC